ATTGTGCACCACGTGGACTCAGCAGGCAGCCCCTGAGCCCGCCCACGCTCCTGTACCCAGGCTCAGGGGAGGCCACACACATGTCTGGCCCCTGGGGGTGGTGGTGGGGAATGCCCTCCCACCACCTGTCATGGCTGGAAGCATGCTAACCACAAGGGCACAGGCACAGCCCCATACACACCAGGAGTGCCACATACAGCACATGGGCATGCCTATACATGTAAGGCACCATCTTCTCCTGCAGACAGTGCTGCAAGGTGCAGGTGTGTATGTGGGCCCTTGGGAGGGCCAGGCAACTCCCAGCTCCTCTGCTGCCCATGGAATCTCACAGAGGCCGGGCACTTCCCTTGCCTGCTTGTTCATGGGGGGAGGAGCAAGCAGCATGGTTCCCTGGGCACCTCGGGGCCCCTGGGAGGCAGGGCCTACTGTGCAGACCACACATGGCCTTACTCCTGGGACATTCCCCATCCTCTAGCCCAAGGGCTGTTTGTTCGTTGCTCACAGAAGAGGGCACAACCTCACAGACAATGTCTGCATGGATGACTGATTGCCTCTCCCTCTTTGTAGTCTCCACTGCCAGACCAGCTGGGACTGAGGGGCGAGACACGCCACCCGTGCCAGCTGCCTGATCCAGGGGGTACCCAAAAGTGCTCCAGAGTGCAGGAAGAGCTGATGAGGCAGTATGTGGGCATCCTGCATGACATGCAGCAGACCCTGGCGCAGATGGTCCAGGAGGATGCAGACTGGTGAACCTGCATGTGGGACCAGCTTGTGTGACAGGGTAATAACATGTGTGCCATCATGCAGGAAATGATGGCACACCCAGCACCCTCCTGCCCTGCCTGCTATGCCCATTCTCTCTATCCCTGCCCCCCAATTGATGCATCTGCTCCCTCCCACTGCTATGCCTGTGACCTGCCCCCAAAAATGTCCATGCTCCCTCTTCAAGCAATGCCCGTGTCCCCTCCTGCTGCCCCCCTGCCATCCCTGTCCCCACTCTAGCCTCCCCCACCCAAGCCCCTTGGTCCCCAAAGCCACCAAACACCACATTCGACAAGGTCCTCACACCCGAGGCAGCACATCCAGTTGCCCTCCAAGCCACCCCCAGCCCTGTGCTTCCTTCCCCTTCTAGTTTAGGAGCTCCCCCTCCAATTTATGAGTCCCCTTCTCCAGTTATATTTTTTGAAAAATAAATACAAAGTTCATTGTGGTGAAATCCAAACAGGTGTGTTTATTCAGAGGTCAGGGAGGAGGAGGAGAAGGAGGGAGAGATTGTGGTGGGAAAGGTATAGTGGAGCAAGGAGAGGCCCCTAGTGGGGGGGGGGCCTGGGGAGAATTACTGGGGTCCTTCAGAGAATTTCTCCCTCAGGGCCTTCCATATGTGCACCCCAGTCTGATGTGCCTGGTGGATGGCAGCTCTGTGGCTGCTCAAAGGGTCTCGCCTCATGACTGGCCTCTGCCCCCACCCTGGGAGGAAGACCTTCTCCTTCCTCTCCACGTTGAGGTGGGTCAGGAGGCACCTGAACCATGCCTTGAGGCATTTGAAGGCGCACTCTACCTGGCTCCTAATCCAGCTGAGGTGGAAGTTAAATTGGTACCTCCTAGGGTCCAGGTGGCCGGTGTAGGGATTCATTAACCACAGCATCAGGGGGTATCCCCCATAACTCACAGTGGCATCTGCACATCCCCAACCACAAAGTGGCAGGGAAGAATGAGCCCACCTCCAGCTTGCCATCGAGGCTGGAGTTATGAAACATGCAGGCATTGTGTTCCCTGCCCAACCACCCAATAAAAATGTCTGTAAACTGTCCACAGTGGTCGACCAGGGCCTGCAGCACCACTGAAAAGTAGCCCTTCCTATTAATATACTGGGTTGCTTGGTGTTCTGGAGCTCAGATTGGGATTTGGGTCCCATCTATGGCTCCGGTGCAGTTTGGGAACCCTAGGGCAGCAAATCCTATCATAATTGGGTCTAGGTCTCCCAGGAAGATGATCCTGCACAGCAGAAAGGAGTTGATGGCCCTCACTACCTGCAGAAAGAGACCAAAAAAACATATAAAACAGAGAATGGGAGGGAATGCCTGAGCTCTTGGGAGGACCCCCCCCCTCCCCTCTCTTTCCCCTCTCAGAGCCCCTGGAGCCACCCCCTATGAGGCCACCCCCCAGCACCAGGATTGTGTGAAGGTGGGATGGGGGCTTCCCCCCGACTCACAGGACTCCCCTGCCCCCCACCCTCCCTTTTCCTGATGGGTCCCCTTTTCCAGGACTCTCTCCCTCCCCTGCAGGGACTGCATCACAAGAGTGCCTTACCTCGGAGGACCCCCCCCTCCCCTCTCTTTCCCCTCTCAGAGCCCCTGGAGCCACCCCCTATGAGGCCACCCCCCAGCACCAGGATTGTGTGAAGGTGGGATGGGGGCTTCCCCCCGACTCACAGGACTCCCCTGCCCCCCACCCTCCCTTTTCCTGATGGGTCCCCTTTTCCAGGACTCTCTCCCTCCCCTGCAGGGACTGCATCACAAGAGTGCCTTACCTCCATGAGGAGGGCCCTGACAGTGGACTTCCCCATGCTGAACTGATAGCTGCCTGGGATGATGAGCTTCTACATGGTGATTGCGACCCGCTTCCTCAGGGGGATGGCGGGCCACAGGTGGGTGTCCTGTCCTGGACCCGTCCTGTGATGAGAACAGGGGCGAGCCAGGCTCACTGCTCCAAAAAGGTGACTTTCCGCATACTGAAGTTTTGGAGCCACTGCTGGTCATCCCACTGCTCCATGACCAGCCGGTCACACCAGTCAGAACTGTTATCCCACCTCCAAAAACACCTCTCCACTGCGGGGTGAAGTTGCATGGGTCTTGCTCCTATACACTGGGAGAGTGTCTCTGGAATGAGCTTGGAGTCAAGCTCGTGCAGGGCCAGGAAGGCAGCCCGCACAAACTGCTGCAGAAACTGCAGTAGAGCCGTGTGGGGCCAACACATGCCCAGGGGCAGCTCTGGCTCCATGGCACAAACAAAAAAGCTGTGGCATCCAAAGAAGTTGGGCAAATCTGAGATAGGCAAGCATGCAGCAGAAGCAGAGAAACGGCTGTCCGGAGTGGTCCCTTGAAGTGTTTGTCTCTGCCAGGCTTTGGCACCAGCACTCGGAAAGCAACTGGTGACCTAAAGCCCTGGCTGAACAGGTTCCAGGTGGCCTTATATGCAAGATAGCATCAATCAATATGGGCGCTATCTTCCGAAAAAGCAGATAGTTTTTTCAATGCACTTTGGCAGTGTGGATGCTCTCTTTCAGAAGAAGTTTTTCCGGAAGATCTTTTCCGGAAAAGCTTCTTCCAATAGAAGACTGCAGTCTAGACAGAGCCTGAGTGACTTATCTCCCAGACAGAAAAGAAAAAAAATGGTGGGAATTCCTGACATGGATGAAGGGGAAAAGGTGAGGGCCTGGAATGCACGGAAGAGGCAGCTTCTGGTATGGGAAAGAGAAGAGACACACAGAATACTTGGTATGAGAGAGATGATCATGGAGGTTGCACTGAGTTCCTGAAATACACTGAGAATAGTAAAGCAGTACACAGAGAGCTTATTGGGAAATGGAGGGATGGTCAGAACCCGTGGTATACCAAAAGCTTTCTCTGTGAGATAGGGAAATGCAATTATTCCCACTTTACAGATGGGGAACTGAGGCACAGATAGGCTAGGCAATTTGTCCAAGTTGCACAAGAAGTGCGTATCAGAGTTGGAAACTCCCAAGAGTTTCCAAGTTAGGCTCATCCTCCCTCTATGTTTCCACATATGTGCTTAAAACCAGTCTTCTATTATCTCTAGATAAGCCACTCCAAGCATTACATAAAGCATGTCATAAAGGCTTCTTAAAAGAAGAGGAAAAAAAAGCAAAAATGAATGCATCTAAACAGCATTTTTAATCTCAAAATAGAGTATTTTGAAATAGCGGCTAGCCGCGATTATGCAAATGAAGCGCGGGACATTCAAATCATGCTTCATTTGCAGTTTTATTTGTCTGCATTTTCATTCCTCTCTCAAAAGAGGAATGCAGTGTAGACATACCCTAAGTCTGAGGTAGCACATCTGCATTAATGGACCCAGCCTTGGACTAATTTCAATGCTTCCTCATAGTGAAGACACACTAGTTCAAACTTATGAAATTGGGAGTAAACTTATGAAATTGGGAGTTCTTAAGTTGATTATAGTAATTTCAGAATAGTTTCCCAATGTATACATGGTCTAGTGAAATGTTATGAGACAGTCCAGGCTAAGGTGTCACAGTGATACCCCAGCTCCAATTTGCACTGTCAGAATCCTGTTATACTATCTAATTTAAATTGTGTCAATTTAAATGATCTTCTTTAGCATTAAACTGCTAGCTGGATTTAAATCTCATGCACAATACCCAGAACGATGTCTTATTTTATGAAGGAAGTTTATCAGTCTAGTATTTGTCACTGATTACCAACAGGAAGACTCATAGGCTACCGAAAATCAGTCAGACATGCAGAATGAAAGGCAATCAGTGCACTAGGATTCAGGCCCAAAATCCTGTGATTCTACTTTGATAGAATTAAGGGTAAGAGGTTAAAAAGGACATTAGAGTATTCTAACGTGAATAAAAGGGAAATTGGGCTAAACTTATCTTAATTTTTCAGTAAATGATATTGCTAACACACAGATTTTGCATCTATTACAGTCCATGGAAGTTTCATCACATAACAACAGATATGGGTATTTAAGGGATCAAAGAGATGATGAAAATACAATCAATATCATAATTTCTTTTGAGTGAGAGCCAGTTTATACACTCTCATGAATATCTTTATTCTTCATGTTCAGTTATCAAAACGGCATAAAATTATTGCTTTTAGTTTCATTGACTTTAAAGATGTGAAATACGAAATTCTTATGTTCTGATTATAAAGAAACAAAATTAAAAGTATTACTTCTGCTCAGTGTTATATTGACAATCTTTACATGCACTTTAAGTCCCTCCTTACCTGTGAAGCCTCGAAGACACAGGCATTGAAAATGTGGTTGCTCTTTAGAGTGGGTCACATCAATACAGGTAGCTCCATTGTAGCAATTGTCAGGGTAAATTAAACATGCATTTTTGACAAATTGACAGAATTCCCCTGTCCATCCAGGTGTGCAGAGACACTAGAAATAAGAAAGAAAACAGTGAAAAAGTATACAGATATTTCATATGACATTATGAACCAAATAATATCATAAGATGCATCTGGGCTACTTCCACATTGTGCAATCTTGTGCAAGAAGATATGCAAATGAGGCGTGGCAGTGAATATTGCCGCACCTCATTTGCATACCTAATGAGCAGTCTGCACTCCTGAAAATAAGCAAAAGAACAATTCTTGAGCAAAAGCCCCTTGCGCAAAAATGGTGGCTCATTAGGTATGCAAATAAGACATGCCGATATTTATCACTGTGCCTCATTTGCATATCTACTTGAGCAAGAATGAGCAATGTAGATGTAGCCCAGGTATTTGCATCCTGCTAAAGGTATATTGAATACATGCGGTTACAGATGGTAAACATGACTGACACAGTACTAACTTGGTTGCTGGGAAGGGCATAAGTGGGTAGAGAAATGTTCTGGGTTCTGTACATAGCTGGGACTAAACCAGTGGAGTGAGGGAGTGCTGATAGAAGCCGCCTTCGAAAGCAAAAAGATTAGATTATAGGTCACTTGGTAGGGGTGGGGAAAACACCCACAAAATGGAAGCAATTAGTCTGGGAAGCCAAGTGACTAAGACAAAGGCTAACTAACCAGCCACAAGTCAGAGTAGTACAGGGAAGTTTCCATCTCCATTATCCAGTCAACTATTCCCATCTTTTAAATATAAAATCAGCTTAGTATGTGTATGTATGTATGTATACGCACATACATACATACAGAGCTGGAGATCTATCTATCTATCTGTCTATCTATCTATCTATCTATCTATCTATCTATCTATCTAACACCACTCTTTAATAGTTGACTTGTTTTTCACTTAGGCTTTCCTTAAAAATGCAGCCTGATGTAGATACCCTGAATGGAAATTTTCAGTCTCAGTCATTAAAGTTTGACAAAGTTATAACCACATCACATCACTCTGGTAGATGGGAAAATACTTACAGCGGGAAATACAATGACACTGGGGGTGAGAAACAGTTTGCGGTGTTGAGCTAAAGTAGGATTTTACAATAAAGGGGATATTGCATATAATTCTCACAAAATTGTCAGTTCATCACATTCACTTTCTTAGTTTCATGTTCAGCTTTCTCACTGCAAGTAGATATGGAAGCACCAAAGTCTTTTTTCTTCAATTATTTCTCCGTTTTGGGATCATATATTTGAAATCCAATTCTGTGACTTTTGAGATTTCTAGGTTTTAAAAAATGCACTAACCACACTGTGAATTCCATAATATTAAGTTGATATGAGCATAATAAAATGTTGTGTCTATTATAGGCCATTCTTAATTTTGTCTCATGAATATTCATGAACCAATCCAGCTAGGTTTTACTAGGGTTAAAATCAAAATCACCTTAGTAGCTAACATTAAAATGAAATCTTTCTTTTATGCCAGAGTTAACATTTGCAACACTCAACTAACATTAATGCTAAATGTAAGTGCTCTGGACAAAAGCATTCTCAGTAGAGGAAGTGACACACACTTGAAAATAATAGTTTGGGAAAGAAAGTAATTAATAATTAATCATTTCTTCTCACTCCCAAAATAGTCTTCCCAAATGTGTGTCACATTCTCTGCTGTTTTTAAATGCAATATAATTAATTATAATGGTGTTCCAGTTCTGGTTCATTCCAGCTTTTACCTCAAGTCAAAAGTAAATATAAAATTTACACTTGAATTCAATTTTTTTTGTGCATCATCATCATCATCACCATAATCATAATTACAGCAAATTGCATTCATCAGGACACATGATCTTTGTTTAACTTTATCCATTTTTACCTCACTTTATGGAATGGAATGTGATGTGATGTGATACATAAATAACATTTGTAAGGGGCCTCTCTCCTGAGAGCAAAAGTACAGAATGTGATCTGGCTTCAATACTAATTAAAATGAAAGGGAATATTGCTTTGTTGTCACATGTAGTTTTACAAAAATTCCGTATCACAGCTGTTCAGGCCTGATGGCACACTGGTTGGAAAACACAGGTATATTGCATTCAATGGCATCACAGGAAAGTTTTCTTTAAACATTTTTTCCTGAAAAAAATGGCATTTAGGTAATATGTAAGGGTATGTCTACACTACCACCCTAGTTCGAACTAGGGTGGTTAATGTAGGCAACCGAAGTTGCAAATGAAGCCCGGGACTTGAATTTCCCGCGCTTCATTTGCATCTTGCCAGGCATTACCATTTTTAAATGTCCGCTAGTTTGGACTCCACGACAGGCCTGCCAGCACTGAGCCAGCAGTCACTGACCCTCACCCAGTGAGGGTTAAACCTCTTTGCAGGAGGAATAACGGTAGTTCGAATTAGGAGCTTTAATTCGAACTACCTAGTCTGTGTCGCGTGTAGCCGCGGGCACGGAGTCCGAACTAGCCGGCATTTAAAAATGGCAGCGCCTGGCAAGATGCAAATGAAGCCCGGGAAATTCAAATCCCGGGCTTCATTTGCAACTTCGGTTGCCTACATTAACCACCCTAGTTCGAACTAGGGTGGTAGTGTAGACATACCCTCAGAGTGTTATCATTAGTAGTTTTACCCATACAACCAAAAGGAAAATAGAACCCTACACCATCCTTCCCTAAACACACAACCAAATCCCATTTTACAAGAAAGGTAATTCTTTAAAGAACTTTACCTGGCTGCAGTCTAATTTCCATGGTCATGTGTTTACATAACCCACAGCCATTATCACAATGAAGGATGGAATGCCAAAGACTGAAACAACATGGAAGCAATACTACCCTTTAATTCAGAGAAGTGGTTTGTTCATGTCTGAAGAGAGCAAAATTGTCAAGGCAGTTGATAAATGCCTGCATCTGTTTTGTCAATAAATACAGGACACCAAGTCCCCGGGCTCTCAAGCAAGCAGTAAATTCACCTTTTTCATTATGAAATACTCTAACAGATGCAGCATATTGGAAGTTTTACTTGAAGGCTGAGAAATACAGTTTTTGTTGCACTTTTTAATTGTCAAGCAAAAGTTGACTTGCGAAGTGAAGGGGTAAGTGTGTTTGTATGTGGTGGTAATAGAGGGGTAGAATGATACTGATACTTCCAAAGTGGGTCTAAACAACATACAAATATGAAACAAAAAAACAGAGGACAAACCAGGTGACATCATCTCGGTACTATGTGTATTCTCTTTCCATCCCATTGACCCATCACTTTCTTTTTATGTACATATTTTCTTTATTTTTACTTATACAACAAATGTAAGATCTGTTATGTGCCTTTTCCTTTGCTATTTCTGTCCTGGGGATGTTCAGCACAGAGCCTCATGGGACTGATTGATGAGGAAAGATTTGAAGACCTCAGCATGTACTTTTTGGCTAAATGACAAATAAAGAGAAAGGAATGTACTTTTTTAGATTGATGAACGGAGTGTAGCTATGATCAATATACAGAATAAAGAAAAAAGAAATCTAAGGTGGAAAAACTAAGGGAAACATTCTGCTTGAAATCTTCAGTGTGTAAAATAATCTTCAAAGTAAAGTACAGGAAGTCACATAGGTTGTCACTTTATAACTACAATGGGAAAAATAACCACAGGAAAAATAGTAGAGTGTAAGTAACAATCCTGTACTATTTTGTTACATCAGTAGGTCCTTTTCTCAATAACCTCTTCAGTTCTAATTATGATTATCCTATGAGGAAAAAGGTTCTGGACCTTATCCTTTCAAACTGTTTATTGTAGAAGAAAATTAAATTCAGGATAATTCTACAGATGTCAATAAATTGCTCAGGGATTATTTTGGCAAATGATTTATTACTGTAATGTTGAATCATCATCTTAGAATAGATTTTGGGATGTGAATGGACCTGTAACAACATATAGAAAGAACCAGATCAATTCCTTACCTATTGTGTCATACCACAAGAGTAACTCTGCTCTTCTGAAGATTACAACTAGATAGTATACTGTGAGGCACAGTCTAGGGCTTATCTTCATATCTTCTTCTGATCTTACTTTTGAAAGCAGAGCTTTTGAAAGTGAAAGTAATCAAGACACGGCTTTTTCAGTGTGCCCCCTCGCCCCTTTGTCAAAAAGCCACTCTCCTCAAAAAAAGAGGTTGACGCAGCTTTTTGACAAAGGGGGGGTGACTGAAAAAGCCGTGTCTTAATTACTTCCACTTTCAAAAACTCCACTTTCGAAAGTGAGATCAGAAGAAGACATGCAAATTCCTGCAGAATTTGAATATCCTCTTTCAACACTCTAGTGTAGTCTAGATAAGAAACTCTGTTACGCTAGAATCTAAAATTCTTGGGACCAAATCATTCCTCAAAGAAAAACATTAATGTCCCTCCCACCAAAAATATTGCATCAAGGAGGAAAACTGGGTTTACCCACACTAGTCCAATCTAGCATAATATGCAGAAATGCCATCCCCAATAGCAGATCACATGAATATATGCTGAGGTCACAATGACCTTAGAGAACTCTTGTTTCTCCTCACAGTTCTTGAGTGTTGCTGAAAGAGCTTTCCCTGGACATTTCTGTCCTAGGGAACTTCTTAAGGTAAACATCTGTCTAAAATTAATACATGTGTAGTTGTGACGGGGTGGAGCAACCCTGTCACCCCCCACTAGCGCAAGACAAAGGGGGGGGGGTAGAAAACGGCATCGGGACCCAAACTGCTCCAGGCGCGCAACAGGACAGCGGGGTAATGCGGCATCAGCAGGCTCCAGAACAGGGTGCCTGCGTCACGAGCGCGCCCGAGCCAGCCGCTGACATCACGGGCGCACCCGGGTGCGTCAGAGGGGAGGGCAACCCGGAAGGGCCGGGTTTAAAAGCCACAGGCGAGTTAGCCCGAGGGTGGTGGTCGGGCGGCAAGCGGGAGGAGAAGAGGGGAGAGCACGCTCCCGACTATGACTGAGGGAGGAGTGACCAAGGTCCAAGGCGGGCCGTGAAACCAGATAGCAGGCGCGTTTGGGGGAATCTCCCCGCCTGCTACCGCTGAGAGCCTCGCGCTTGGCGTCAGGGCCCTGGGCCAGGGTCCGGAGAGAGGGTGGGCCCGGACCACCACTTCGCCCGGAAGGTGGTATCTACAGTCACACTAGGTGCCCTATGGGGTGCCTTGCGACAGTAGTGCTTCTGGTGTGTGTTGGTGGCAGCAATAAGGGCTGGGTTCATTATGTGTAGGCATCCCTTCTTAGAAAACATTAGCCATGTAACAGATGGCATGGAGGTCTATGTAGTCAACTGATTGTCTTTCACCCCCTGCTTGCTTGAGGAGCCTTAGACTTTAAAGATGCTTTGGAGTAGAAGAGGTGGGAGCGCCCACAGTGCACCATTTGGTGCTACATAGTTAATTTAAAGGGCATGGGAATCTGGTGTCACCACTGCTGCAGTAGTCGCAGCAACGGCCAGGAATCCTGGGTCCTTTAGAATCACCAGGCCCCAGAGCAGTTGTCCCCTTTGTCCTCCCTATCAGTGGACCTACCATTCACTCATATAGTGATGCTCAACTGTTCATGGTTTTCATCCTAAATTCATGCCCAAGTCATTCCAGATTTTCTCAAAGCTGTGCTCTTTGTAGAGACAATTTCTGGACCGGTGCTCAGGAAGACCATGTATGAGACACTGTGTTTTGTCTTAGCTGTGGCAACTACCCCCACCCAGATATTCAAACAATCTAATTCCCTTATCTAGTTTGACCAATATATATAGTAGAGGGGAACTGTTGGCATTTGATGGCGTAGATCAAATTACTCAAAGAGCAGTCAAAGGACCCTGTGATTTTGTGGCCAGTGTTGTTTGGTCAAACTGGACAGTCTCTACGTGAAAGAATCTATGGACACAAATCGGATATACATAAAGAAAATACTAAGAAGCCAGTGGCAGAATATTTCTGTTTACCTAACCATAATCTCACAGATGTGAGTAGGTGGCGGTCTTGTCACAAGCCAGTTCCTCAAGCCAAATCCACAGGGAAAGCTTGGAATTACAATACATATGCAAATTCAATTCAATTAATTATGGACTTAATCAAGATATGGGGTGGTGGAACCTTTATCAAAGAGGGTGCTAACTACTTTCTGAATGGTATCCTTCCTGCCTTATCTATCCACTCACTTTGATCTTTATCTACTCAGGTTTAGCACCTTTTCTTCTGATACCTTATGCATAGAGGTAGGGGGCTGGATGACAGAACATCTTTTGTTTCAGCTAGACCAGATTAACACGGCTGCATTTTAATCACTAATCTACATGTTTTGTTCGTCTATAAAGTGCTACCACTTTTTCTGTAATAGACTAACTTGGCTGTTTTTTTTCTGTAATAGACTAACTCGGCTACCCCCTGAAGCTCCTTATGCAGGGAGTAGAGCATCTACTTATCACTTGTGAGGTGGTACATCCCTGTTCAAATCTTTTATTCTTATAAGGCAGAGGAGCGACTTAAACCAGGAGTTCCCTGAAGGCCCTAAGCACCAGACTAAAGATTTAGGAGAGGTACTCATCCTTTGCTGTTTTCTATGAAATTGAATGGTCTGAGCACACCAAGGGTGCATCTTCACTGCACCCATAGCTCGAAATAAGTTATGCAATTTGAGCTATGCAAATTGTGTAGCTTATTTCGAGTCAATTTCAAAATAGCTTATTTTGAAATTTGCTGCTTTCTACACAGCACTTACTTCAAAATAAATCACTATTTCAGCATCTTCCTTAATCCTCGTGCAATGAGGTTTACAGGGACATTGAAATAGTGAGCCCATTATATTCCGAAAAAATGGGTGCTCTCAAAAGACATGGAATAGCTATTTCAGGATACTGCAGTGTAGATGTAGCCCTACAAAATCAACCCTTCTACATAACTATCTTCATCCAGTGCACAGGGGTTTCTGCAGGAAATATCCTTTGTCCATAGCTCAAGCGGAAGTCACCTCTCCTTTAAGCAGAGTTTATTTAGTTCCCTTGTGGCTTTTTATAACTTTAATTTTTTTAAACAAAGTGATACTAAGTGTACCCAGTACCTCTCTTGAGAGTTAAACATGATTAGCAAGAAGCAGCAGAATGTGCTGAGTGCTCACCTTGCAATTTTGAAACAGGCATCTGCTAGAAGGAGTCGCAAACTTCACGGAGCTCATGAAGTGTTTCTGATCCTACTGGTATTAATAAGCAGGTAACAGAATTTTATTATAAGTTATGTACTTCAGAATTATACAGTGCTGAGCAGGCTGGCTGAACTTTTATGGAATCTTTCCATGTCTATCCACCTTATCTCAAGGAGACAGCTCCTTATTAGATAGGGATGTGAGAAAAAAAATGGTTTGGGAACTCATTGCATCCTGGAAAAGTGGTTCAAACCTGAGCCTAGGCATGCTGCTAAATTATTTTTATTAAAAAAATAATTCAGACTCAGCTAGCCTCCTGATGATAAAACTTTTCATGAGACTTGGGAAAATAAACTTATTTTAGAACAGTCACTAGTTTCATTTAAGATTGTCAGTTGCATATTATGAAATATCTGCTTCAAATTGCAGAAGGGTGAGGGATATGAGGGAGAAATGAGGGGAAGACATTCTTACTGCTTCTGGGGGATCAATCAGCAGGCCGTCTTTATGTCTGCTTACTTTTGGTGTTCAATTTATTTGAAGCAATAACATTGAACAGAAAAAACCCCAACACACTCCACCCTGGAAGATTTGTGCTGTTGTCACTGAGAAAACTCCTTTCAGGTAGAGATTATACACATGCAAGAGAGCATTGAGCAGATGGCATTCTTATACTGATAAAGCTGGTAGTACATCAGCATAACACTGCTGAAATTTAAGGAATTTTGTTGATTTATATTAGTTGAAGATTTCCTCTGTGTTGTCTAATGTTGATCCTGACCTCCTACCCATATAGATAGGTTATCACAATTATAAGTAACAAAAATCTTAGCCCCAATTTTCTCTCAATGTTGGTTGTTCTTAGAGCTCACGAATCTCAGATCCTAGATTCCTCTACCCAGAAGGTGTTACCCCTGTCTCTTACCACCCTGGATTCCGTTGAAGCCAAATGAGTCACACTGTAAAAAATCAGGGAAGAATCATCCATTGCTTTCTTCTCTAGTTTCTTAGGTGTTGTAAGAATTTTTGTTTTCTCCTAACAGTGAGGAATCAAAACTGGAATAGATAGTATCCAGCACAACCTTCCTTTTTTCACTCCAATTTCTTTATGACCATTATAATATTCCTCTTATTATGTGTTGATGCCAGTTGAACATGTGGATGACTGAAGGGAATGAGTCCTCAGGAGATCTTATGTGGAATAATGGTTTACTGTTTCTTGAGATACTGAAATTAAAATATGGAATTTGAAATTGTAATCTTATTAGGTTTCTGCAACCCTAACACTTTAGAGAGATATTTGGTGTTGGCTTCAGTGTACCCATGATCACTGCTTTGGGAATGGCTGTGGTATGTGATTCATCGTCTCATTAAAAAAATAGTGCTTTGCATAAGGGTTTTGTAGAGGCTCTCTGTGACTTTTTTTTAGGGATCGTAAAAGTGTTTTAGAAACATGACTCAGCAGTTTCCATACTTGAAGAGGACTGCCCAAATAATACACAGGATAATAATAAATCAGTATTCATGTTAAATTTTTCACAGCTGCCTAATGACTTTAGTTAAGATATACTCAGCAGTTTATGAGTAATGCTTCAAGTGGCAAGCTGAATCGGGGAGTTTTGTTTATAACCTTTCAGTGTTGTGAATGGTTTAATATTTCAATTGTGGACTTTATGGAGATGGCATACTTTGAAGGACACTTCCGAGATGACTGGGATGGCTGGCATTAAGCCAAAGCACTGCAGTATACATATTTAAGATCACTTAGTAATAGCAAAAATAGCATTACTTTGAAAATTAAAAAAAGAAAGAAAGAAATTAGATATACCTGTAAGTTAAATTAATTATCATGTATCACTTATTTTAACTTGGATAATTGTGGAGAACTGTTGATTAGTCTCTGTTCAATACTATTTGAGATTTTTAAAAATATTAAGTTGTGAAGAAACACATTTTGTACAGTAAATGAATGATCTAAACTGCAAGTGTGACCAACCATCCACTCTTACCTCATTTAAATTAATTTTAATGGCTCACTTCTGCAGCATCATAGATAAATGTGGATTTACATATCTGACTATATTTCAAATATACATATTTTCAAACCAGCTAGATGTAAATTTGTCTAAACTGAGTAGCTGTAGAATCATGTTTCCATAACCACTGTCCTTTCTTCACTTTTCTGTGTCTTCGTGTATGTGTTTTTCCTCACTTGTCTGTCAAATCCATTATTTAGATTATTCTGATCCTTCAATGTGATCTGCATTCAATGGGTATGGGTTTGTCAGAATAATAACTCCCAAAATAAATATTTCAAAATAGCATGTCCTCATTACAGGGAAACCTCGAAATTAGTCAAAGGCAGGCTCCCCTAATGTGGACGTGCTATCTCGACTTAGAGCCCCAGGAAATACTGGGGAGTAATTATATAGAATGGCCCTGGAGAGGAGCTATTTCAAAATCGCAGCAGTGGAGCGTCCACGCTACTACTATTTTGAAACAGCAATTTCAAAATAAGTGTTATTCCTTGTAGTCGGCAAGAGTAAGTCTCAGGTCCAACACTGGGGTCCCAAAGCACAAAGAATGCCACACAGGTATCTGTCAAACACAAGTAGTTTATTTCTTGACAGCTAACAGCTGTGCCCCATAAATGGAAGAACAATATAACAAAGAAGCGGCATATCTTATGTCCCTTCCTGCAAGTCTGGGACCTCAGGTAGGCTGCACACAAAGTGGGAGGTTGTCTCAGTTTCCGAGGCGCTGGTACCCAAAGCCCATCGGCGAAGTCTGATTTGCTAGGCTCTGAGGCAGCCTTAAATACAGTTTTCCTCCCTTGTTTGGCCGTTTGGAAATTTTCAAGGCTTACTCAATAGTGATGATGTAGAGCTTAGCTGTTAGTTATCGATTTGGTTCTGATCTGGATCTTCTTGTCCATTGGCCCTGTTTACGCGATCAGTACTTTTAGGGTAAACAGAATTGTTTATGCGTTCTTGTGCTTTATCCTTATCTTTACTTGTTCTTGCTATTCTGGCAACAATGCTTATCTTAAGTGGCGTATGTTCCCAAAGACTTACTTCTGGCTCATCAGATATAGGAGAAAGGGAAAGGGGGGAAGAAATGCAGGCCTCACCACCCCTAAACTATCACGCACAACGTTATTCCGCAATTGACCACTACATTCTTCATGAAATGAGGGTTTATTATTTTGAAATGAGAAGCCTGTTATTTTGAAATAATTTTGCAATAACAGGCTTTATGTGTAAATGCTTGCCTTGTTATTTCAAAATAGAGTTATTTCAAAATAAACAGTAGTTTATGCTCTGGGAGGCTAGGCCCAGGTGTAAATCTTCATCTCTGTTGATCAAATGGAAGGATCAGAGCCATACACTGCAAGATCATTGACATAGGCATTGTTTCCCATGCATTTCATGCTATGAAATTAATTAAAGAATAATAATTACTACTGGGACTCTTAATGGGTCTTTTAATAGCTCTTTCAAGCAAAGCTTTCCCATTCACCTTTTCATCTCTAAACTCTACTCCTTCCATCCTCCTGCTCTGAAACTTATTTTATGTTAACTTTTTCACTGTCTTGCTAACATATTTTCCTGTCCAGTGCTTTTGTACATCAGTGGCACTATATGAACAATATTTTTGTCTCACCTGTGTCCATCTTCCACTGTACTCTTTACTGATTTGTGCTATTTAATTTGTAATATGTTTTGTGCTTTGTGCTTTTCCTTTATTTATTTGCATTGTTGATGTTAAGAAGAAATTATCAGGAACAACTGTTTATAAAATTTTTTAAAAAAGTTTTAATGATTTCAAAATTACTGTTTTAAGCCTCCATTACGATAAAGCAGGGCAAGGGAATGTAAGGCCCAGGGGCTGGAAGTGGACCCAGGCTTGCCCGGATCTGGCCCCTGAGGTTCAGGACTCCTCTCAGAATTAGGGAGCCCACACTGGCACTCCAGCCCCCTCACCATTCCACTGTGGGGCTAGAGTACACAAAATATTCTAACCTGGGCTGCCTAGGCTCTGGTGTATGAAGGGAATGTGAGGAGTGCCTTTCTCTTTCTCAATTGCGGGCCATATCAGTGAGGGGTTTGTTTCATTTTATTTTTGCTTTTCATTTGTGTGAGGCCCTGACTGATTTTTCTGTGGGTCAGTGGCCCTTGACCCAAACAAGGGTCCCCAGGCCTGCTTAATGACTTGTACATATTACATTTTGAAGTCAATGAGACCACTCACAATGCATACATGTAAGCACAAGTGTCTAGGCTGTTTCCTATTCTGGCACTTTGAGTGCAGAGGTGGGGGCTCACAAGAGACATTAAAATATTTTGCTACTAAAGGTGAGTGATTCCCTGGCCTGGTATTGCTACCACTACACAAATGCAAAAGCCTCCTTGAAAACCCAGGAAGGTGCACATGGGAATTCTTTCCTGTGAGGTACCCTCAAGCTCTTTTAACCCTCTAACTGGAATTAGCTTGGAAAACTAGCTGTTGAAGTCAGCTGAAAATGGAACTTTAATTTCTCTAATGGTTTGGCATGCAGTGTTAGGCACACACACACACACACACACACACACACACACACACAAACAGCCTCCCACATTTTATGACACAAGAATCAGATCAAGGATTACTTTCACAGACCAAAAAACTAAAAAAGAAAAAAGAAGACTCCCTCCCCCCCCCCCCCCCCCTGAAACACACTCCTTGGTTGCTGGGTATGACAGAGCAACTAGAAAAAAAAAGATTTAAAAACACAGAGAATTGCTTCCCTGGGATTCAGTTGGGGAAGTTACAATATAAGGGGGCAGTTACATGGGCTCAGCACAGAGAAGTCCAACAAACTCCAAAATAAAGAGAATAACTTGACCATGTCTGACTAAACATTCCCTATTCTGCTCGTATATCTGTTATTTTGAGGCTTAGTCCTTTCCTAGGATTGCTGGATTCTTCATACCTGGCTCCTGGCTCCTTTCAGGTCATGCCATGATCTCCTCCGGCCACACAGGAACAGGGAGGCTGCTGCTTCCAATTCAAAAGCCCACACTCTGCT